GTTGGAAAATTTGTTAAGTGCAATATATGATCAATAATAAATGCAATTATTTTTAAAATAAAACTTATTTGTCGTGTTCCATGCACATATCGGTACCTACCTGCTGCGGTAAGACTGCTCCAAACAGTAGTTAGCTTGCTACAAACAGGACATTTTTGTGCTCCAAGCGCACTAATTTTTGCTCCAAACTTTCATTTTTCCTGCTCCGAAAGCTGCTCCGAAATGCCAAAAGCCACTTCCACCACTGATCCCCTTTGCCTCACCAGTTCTTTGACAGATCGCAGCCCACAGGTCGCGAGGTTGTCATCCGCGGTGACGAAGTGTTGTGCCGAAGCTGGAGTCCCAAGGTTCTTCAAACCCTCCATTGGTCGAAATTTTGCCACGCTGCGCCAAAATGCCCGACCAGCCTCAAAATTTCTTCAGCTGGGCTAATTTTAGTGAGGAATGAAGGCCACGGTGGCCATTTGAAGTTTGCGTCCTCAATTAGTCCAGGGATCTACGTGCGCCGACCTTTACCTTAAATCACAATAGGACACTCTCCAAAAGTGATCGACCAGATCAAGTAAGAACGTTGCATCGGTCTGCTGATCGCAGCGAATACAGCGCAACTTGAAGACCAAAATATGTTGCCGTATCCAGCAACACTTTTCGGCAAATATGAATATTCTAGTCAGTAAACACGGTTATGGCATGTTAGGAACTAAAGCTGAAAGCGTATATCGATGTTACTGCGCGCGATCCAACTCGACGTGCTTTGAACGTCCACGTTGCCGGCGAGCATATTGATTGCCATAGCAACGGCGCATACGATAGATATGCGGTGTCATCGCGGGGCCAATGGGCGTGTGCCTTTGTTACCTTATCTACTGAAAAGTTGTGCCCCAAACCTAACTCTTTCGTAAAAAAAAAGGGGGGGGGGGGGGGAGAGTGCTGTAGCGGTTTGAAAATTTCTTGGCCTTGTTCTAACCCGTGCAGGACGTTGCTCAGACCACCTTCACTGCAGTACACCAGTGGCCTGCAAAAAAGCGTTTAAAAATTCAGAAGGGGCTGTTAGCATTAGTCACAGAACACAGAAGTTTGTTTATTTACTCATGCGTGTATAAATGTCAGTGATCATACTAGTTGTAAATACTAGTATGATCACTGACATTTAAAAACGTTACTGGCAATAATTTGGAGCGTTGTATAACATTTGTGCAGCCCTAAAAAAAAAAACCAAAACGTTGTGCCATTTTTTTTTTTTTTTTTTTCCCCACCGCTAAGGTCACCAGCTTGGCTAATCCACAATTGAATCCTGAAAGTGTCAAAAATTTGAGTGGCATGGCAAATGCTAATGTGGACTTTATCATTGTTTGCGTAGTGAGGTGGTTCAATATACTACTTTTTATTAAAATAGCAGTGCTCATATTCATTCTGCACGATTTAGGGGATGTTGAATGGTTTGTACATACCTTTTTTTCAAAATGGAAGCCTTCTTTTTAACACTGCTCCAAAGTAGGTCTTTCATGATAAAAATTTTTGCCCCTGTAACTTGCTCCAAATTTTTATTTTAGTGCTCCAAAAGTAACATTTTGCTGCTCTAAAAATTGCTGCAAATGCTAGTTCGGCTGTTGCACCCCTGCATACGTAAGTGCATATGTGTATGTCATGGGGTTACAAACATTGGCTGAGTTCCTGGACTGTGACTTTCCAAGATATGTTCCCTTGTGCAGTATTTCACATCACTAAAGCTGAACAGGCTGGCAAATGACTGCATGTTTCTGGTGATGCATTATGATAAAGCACCATGCCTTGCACTGTATGCCTTGCAATGAAAGGCGTTGCTTTTAGAGACTGATGCCTTATGTTTTTGTGAAAAAATTACATTGCCCTTTAAAGTGGTTATTCGAGAATATGGCACAGACATTTTTGGCTGTTTGTTCAAAAAAGCCTTATATTTTCTCATGACTACATACAGTAAATCCTCTTTAATATGAACTCTGTTATTTTGAAATATCGCTTAACTCAAAATATTTCTGCTGTCCTGTATTTTCCAATGTAAGTCTGAGTGTGTAATTCGAAGCGCCAGTCAGCTCTAGCCCGGTTAATGCGATAACTTTGGGTGCCATGTGCCAGTTGTCGATCTCGATTTCGCTGCAAATCCGCGGAAATGACGGCCCTTAAGAGACACAAGGCAATTGAATGTATTGATACTAATAAGCGGCAATGAAGCGCCTCAGCTTCGCTCCTTCATGTGCACAAAAAAAAATTGGCCCCGTATCTGCATGTTACACTGCAAATGTTGTCGAAATACGATAGTCTTGCGTCTGGAGAGAGTGAACAAAACGTTTATTTAATGTTCTGCGCAAGAAAGTTGGTGAATGGTATTCTGGAGGTGCTGCGTTAAAGTGCCTCAAGCGTGCAGCGGAGGCAAACCAGCACATCAAGTCACATCACATGTGGGGCATGAGCGCCATTTGGCAGTTATCTTGGAAAACGAAGCGCGCGCACGGCGTGCGCGCCCGTCTTGGAGGTGATAAGGTGTGGAACGCAAGGCGACGGGTAGGTGCCACCACAGTGTCGTCTTAGCAAAGGGTTGGAAACACTTGCCTTTTGCGCAAGCGCTGCATGGTCAGCGCTGCGGTCCTTAGAATTGCTTATGTAGGCCTTGTCTAGTAAAAGATATACATACAAAATATTGACGTGTTGCTATGGTGCCTCAGATGTGGTCAATAATTACTTTTTAATTGACAATCGCACAAGTATGAATGCTGAACCTTGAGCAATATTGGTGCACGCTGCGGATGGGGTCGGTCGTTTGGGGTATCCTTTTTTTGTTTAGGGTATCGAAGATGTTGTTAAGGGTGGACAAACAGACAAATGTACAGACAGACAGACCAAGTTTTTTGCATCGAAGGTCCCCAAGAAAGACTATCGTCTTTAATAAAAAAAAAAGTCTCGCGGTCAACCAAATTGTGAGCTTGCAGAAAACACAATCTGCTTCACTGCAATGCAGTAGTGACGTGCAGGAAACACATTGAATGTCTCGCAACGCCAGCGGGACATGATTTACCCAACGACCAGCCCTGAATACTTAGAATAATTCCAAGCTCCTTGCATGCCACTTATTTGTATGTTCTGTTAATTCGAAAGCCCACTTCATTCGAAGATTTCTAATGGCCCCAGTGACTTCGAATCAACGAGGTTTTACTGTATGTCTGTGTTAGCACTCTTCAAATTTAATTACCAGTTAGTGACAGTATTGTCTTCCAGCTTATGAAAGCTAAAATAGAAATAGGAATGAGTAAGGGACATGGTATTGAGGTAAGCAGAAAATTATCTGTGTTGAGCTTTCTCTCAAAATGAGGAGTGGAAAAAAAGGCCTGTTCTTGTTTTTTTGTGCAGATTTACCTCGTTAGCACTTGTGTTGCACAATTAACTTCTGTTGGCTTCAATTTTGACTGATTGGGGCAAGTTTCCAAGTTAAGGCAGTCGGGTTGTTAAGGCAGTCGGGTTGGTAGAGCACGATCTAGGTGATAGGTGTTCGGAAGGTGAAGCGTACACAGCTCCTTACAGTACTATGCACTAATGAGTTAGAGACTTTATTGAAGCACCCCGTATTTAATTTTTTGTGCTCATTTATTTACATTGTTGAAGCAAACAATATGGTGTCCCATCTGAATAATGGTTTTTAGATGACAGAAAGTAAGCCTGCAGTTGACTGTTTGCCAACAGGCATACCTTGCTATGGTCCTTGATTAAGTATGGAACGTGAGCTGGGGATCTGCTTGTTTTTTGTGGTTAATAAAAAGGTGTTCCTTTTCTTGTGACTTTTTCACATATTAATATACAGTGATACCCCTATTATACGGCTTTCGAGAAACCACACAAAACCGTCGTATAATCTAGGCATTGTATAATCGAAAATCTAGGAATAAATGCAGCGACATTCAGCCTTGCACAAAAAACAGGTACAGAAAACCTGAATAAGCCCACGATGTGACCTTGGGCTTCTCCAAGAAAGGTAGATTAAATTATTCTTGCCAAGGGTAGCTTACTTAGTTGCTTAGTTGAAACAGGTGCGAGCGAATCTTTATTCTAAAAAAAAAAAATCGTATTCAATGTGCATCTCTCTCCTGATAAATTGATTCTAAAAATTGCCCAGGCATAAAAACGAAACTGAAACTGCATTGCCAACAGCCTCCCGTCAGAGAGTTTGACACAGTGTCATTGCCATGACATAATGGCGATGGACCACGAGTTCACAAGGTTGCGTAGAATGCCTTCGTGCTCGAATGAGCTGTGTGCATTGTAGTTTGTTGCCTTGTAAAGGGCAACTAGAGATGTACTGATGTTGCAATGAGTGTTGAAATCAAGTGAAAGTTATTTTGCATGGTGAAAATAGCTGCATCGTGTCCTTTTGCATGCTCAAGCTTGTGACTGCGAGTGTCGCAAGCCAAGGCAGGAGATCAGCTGTATGACAACCAAGGAAAGTACTAAAGATCGAAAACTTGAAAATATCAGGATCTCAGAAAAGAGCTTTACGGTCAGCTGAAGCTATTCTGGACGGAGCTTCTTCAGGTAACGACCCTGCGTTCACACATGTTCGAAGCGTGTGCAGAAGTGCTTGAACTGCCAGAAGAATAAATTTTTCATTCTGATAACTAAGACATCCTGTCTCGATTTCTACTTGTCTAATCATCAACCTAGAGGAGTGCAAGTTCATATTTTACACTCGTGCATATTTGGTCAACGTTTGGTGTGAGTAAAGGTGATTTTTTTTTTATTTTGGACGGAATTTGAAAGTCGTCATAAGATGTAGGGTCAACATAAAACTGTGTCCCAAAACACAGGTTTTCAATAGATTATTTATATGGTGATTTGGCTGGTACCACGCTGACCCATTGTAAAAATGCGAGTCGTCGTGAAAGCGGGGGGCGTCTAATCGAAGTTTCTCTGTATTTGTTTGTATCATGTTTATTGCAGTGGTATTGATACATTTAAATTTCCTCAACCTGCAGGCAGTGCCTCTGCACATGGAAGGCAGTGGTCCTGGTAGCGAAGAGGGTGTGTGTGCTGTTGCGTTGACACCTGGGGCTGAGCTTGGGGCTCAGTGTCCGGCGCCGTCCAAAAAGGCAGTGATTCGGGCCCGTCAGGGAGGGCCCTTCAAGCCACCCGTTCTTGTTCGGCAAGGCTCAACTGAGACAGGTAAGTAGTTAAGAACAATTACTTTTTGCGCGAAATTGTAGCACCGTGTGAAGTACTAGCTGGCATGTAGGACTGAGAAGAAGGGGTTCTAACCAACTTGTAGACAAAGTGTGGACGAGTGTTGTAGACTAGCATAGAGGGCTCGAAGGGTTTTTGGGTGCACATTGCCGGAGACATAGCTGCCATCTCGAGATCTAAAAGCATGTGGCGTTGCTTGGGAGCAGTGATAAACATGCCTGTGCGATACCTGAGGCAACAGAAATAGCATGGGGGTGTTGGCTATTGCATTTACATGCCATCCGTATTGCTATTGAATGAATTACTCTGTTATCCTGTAATTGTGTGCACTAGTGAACAGGTGAAAAAAAGGCATCTGCCTGACAGGATTCATGGCTTCTCTCCAGCTTCTTTTTTTTTTTTAAATTTTTGCTCTTGTTTCAGAAATGAGCATAAACAAGTTCGCATTTAAACTCCTTTTGGTGATCTGTGCTGGTGGCATGCTTTTTTGCTTCGTTTTTGTTTTCGCGCAAAAAGTAACTGTGATTTATTCCCAAGTAATGGGAACTCATATGCTGTGCTGTGGTGTTTTATATAATTAATGGCATTATGTGCCTATTCTCTGCAATGAAAGTTTCCATTTAAGTTGGTCATTTCTCTGTGTAAGCTCTGTTAAGCTAAGATTGTGTGAAAGATCAGGTCTTTGTTAAGATATTTCAGTCTTCTTGACGTGGTATTTTTTTTAGCAACACCTTTGCATAAGGGGCATGGGTGCTTTGATTTTAAATCTTCAGGATGGTTGCAAGCCATTTTCTGTACTTTGCACTCCGAATGAAATTGCGTTAGGGCTGCATAAATTTTACATAGTGTCCCGGCTAAGTTTTTAGCCAAGCTCAAAGAAAGAAGAAAGAAGCATGAAGTCTTAAAAATGTGACTATTAATAGTACATGGTGTTTGGTCATGTGTTCACTTTCACAAAAGAGTTTGGGAAGCAGTCATATGCCTACTTGGGGAAGAAAAAAAACTACAGAATGAAACAAACATTGCTTTGGCTAACATTAGCATAGTCGCAGTAAATGCTAGAGCTTGGTTTTGTCACCTTTGGTAGGAGTGAGCTTTTTTTGTTGTTTACTGAGTTATGGCTAGCTGATTGACATGTGAGAAGAGGCTCTTAAAAATGCATAGAAGCCTGGTTCCGGGAACAGGTTTCATAATGTTGTCCAATTAGCAGTAGTCATCGTTGCTGAATTCGGTAGTATTGTTCATTAGTGGTGAAACCCAATAAGAAGAGACACCTTGTCATTCTGCTTCTGTCTTGTCCATGTGCAAAGATGTTTGCATAGAAAAAACAACTTAGTATCTACAGTTGTCTTCCCCGCATGGTTTTTGTGCGTATGGGGAAGCTTGAGGTTCGGGAGGAAACTTAGTTGTATGTTTGCAGCACATACAGTCGAATCTCATTAATTCGAACATGCTTAATTCGAACTTCCGGTTAACTTGAACTCACAATGAGGCCCCATCAAAGCTATGTGTATTCTGATGGGCGAAAACGCCCGGTAATTCGAAGGCGCAAGCACTTGTGACGGTTAATTCGAACATACCGCGCTCCGAAAATGCTCTCAGCACCCCGCCCGATCCCGTGGCGGCACCTGCGACACCTCAACGCTCTGCGCGAAGGAAATGAAAAGGAAAGAAAAGGCTGCGGTGGAGTGTGCTCTTTCTTAAATGCTGATCTGCAACACGCCCGTGTCACGCTTCTCTCTTTTCCGTCCATGCCACCTAAAGACCCTTCTCCTTCCAACGCTGCGCGCAAAAAGAGAGAGGAAAAAAAGAAAGCTGTCGCTGGGTCGAATGAATGTGTGGTTGAAGGAAAGGAAAAAGGCTGTATCTTCTGCAGCCCTTGCCCCTTGCGGGAGCACGGCTCTGCTCCTTGAGGGGGAGGGGGGTCTCTCACGCGCCGGTGCCACGTTTCCCCTTTTCCTGTCCCTGCCACGTAACCCTTCTCCTTTCAATGATGTGCGCAAAGAAAGCAAAAAAATAAAAGCTGTTGTAGAGTGTTGGTTTTCTCTCAAATGCCGATCTGCTTCTCTCCGCTTGAAGACGTTCCTCCTTTCTCGTCACGTGCTGGCCATGCTGCGGCTGCGCTCCTCTACCCAGACGTCGTTCTCGTCTCTAGAAAGTGTCGGCGCTGGACATTTCTGCGCCCAACTTCTCTTGCCAGGAGAATGCTGAAGCCAAAGTAGAAATGCTTTGCTAGCTGCGTGCAAAATTGATTGACTCGCTTCAAGGAAAACGTGTGCAGATGCGCATCACCGATTACTTCAAATAACGTATGTCCTATGATTTGTGAATAAAAGTAAGTCTTCTGAAACTTCCCCCTTGTGTGTTAGCTCAATGCACATGTGCCACTGCATGAAGAGCCCTCCGTTTATTTAGCTTTCATTAATTCGAACTTCTTTTAATTCAAACAAATTTTCGGGCCCCTTCGAGTTCGAATTATCGAGATTTGACTGTACTACTAAATGTAGTTGTATGCTGCTACATCTTCCGCAACAGAGTAGGCAGCCTGTTCGTGTCTGCACGCTGGTGTATGTTCGTATCAAATGTCATGTGGTGAAAGTCGGTTCGCAACAACCATATTCAATTATGTTGCCAGCTAATGGACCTTGTCCGGGACCACTAAATAATTTGTATCGCCCCAAAATTTGTACGAGCCACAGTCGTATCACTGAGGCTCTACTGTGTGGCGATGGAACACAACCGGGGCTACTTTTTTGCGATTGATTATAGTATGCATGCGAACACCAAGGGGTGAGAATTGGTCTGCAGTTGTCTTAATTAAGCTGTGGCATTTGTTATAACAATATAGTGGCTTTAAAATGAAAACACTACAAATTTATTTTTTTTGCTAGAAGGAGTATGTATTAGAAGTGAATAAATACGGCACTGGAGCATCTAGATATTTCTGCATAAGAAACCAAACATTCAGTACTTTCGGAGCATATTCTTCATGAAGTTAACTGCTGTGTTTGAAGGTTACCTGAGCATTCGAAATAGCAGGTATAACCTGCCTGGTTTGGTAGCGGGTTGCAGAGTGAGGAAATCATAAAAGAAGGCCGCATATCTGCGTGCTTTACTGAAAATGTCATCGAACGATCATGGTCTTCTGCCGGCCGTGCTAATGAATTTGTAGAGGGGGTTGTATTTCATCAAGTGGCCATTTATGTTTTGCCTTGCCTCAGACAGCACCTACTCTCTGTTGAATCTGACACATCTGGCTGGCATTGATAAAATACAGGAGGCACTGCGTGAGATATGGACGCCATCTGGCAGCGGTGTTGGGAAACAAGCTTGTGTAGAACCCAGGGCCATTGCCAGTTGGCAGTACCATATCGTTGGCAGAGGGCTTTTTCGTGCATAGCATCGCATTTTGAGCGAAGCCTGAGAAACACTAGAGTCTTTATCGTCGCATTTTCAGTGCAGCCTAAGGAACATTAGGGTCTTTAAAATCACATATCTATGCATTTTATAGTAAAGGAACACACCACCTAATACTTACGTATCGAAGTTGCGCCTCAGTTGTGTGTAATATTTGCTTTTCGATTCACAGTGTTCACAAGTATGAACGCAGCCACCAGTTCAAGATTGCTGGATATTCAGCAAGCGCTTAAACTTTAGCCAGGTGGTCGAATCATGTGACAGACAGACAAACCGACCAAATGTCTGTGTTCAAGTATCCCAGGAAGGACTATAGTCTTTATAAGCAATGCCTTTGAGATGCATTACACTCACCCCTGGGCCCTTGTGCACCTTCTTTTTTTCTTAAAGGGGAGGTGGCGTTGAAAAAAAACTTTTACAGCGAAAGCTGTTATGAGATCACAACTCGGGTCACACGCAGTTGTCCGCCGCCGCAGGTGTCCGTAACCACATCACGCAACATTAAAAAAAAAACCTAGCACTAAAGACACAGTGGAGCTCGAAACCTGGGTCTGCTGCGTGCCAGCCCAGTTTTCTATCGCTGAGCTACGCCGGCGCCTGCGACTTGTTGGTAAACCTAGCACGAAAGACGTAGTGGGGCTCAAACCCGGGTCGGCTGGGTGCCAGCCCAGTATTCTACCACTGAGCTACGCTGGTGCTTAGGACTTGTTAGCAAACAACTTGCCTTAGGCAGGCTTGATGTCGGGAAAGCAATTGTGTTAATACGACTTATAAAGCATTTTAAAACGGTGAAAGAATAACCAGTCGTCGCACAATGCGAATAGTGTAACGAGTGGGTTGTCCAATGCTTCAACCCATTACAAAAGCTTGTTCTTGTTCCCCTATTAACTGTGGTGCATACCAACTTAAGCCATAATTCCTTATCTTTGTCAGCCACTGCATTAACGATTGGCACCGAATTCCTTGCAAGTGTTTAGCGGATACCACGCTTCTCAGAAGAATGACGAAAAATAGCGTAGTGAATGCCGGCCTACCACCCAAAAGTTTATTATCAATGCCCTAGTGGGTATTAAGCAAGTGTGCTTGCAGTAGTCACCCAATGAGTGTTTTGAAAAGGCTCTGAAAGGCCGCTCTTCTAGCTTTCGCTGTAACTGTGCTGCGCCTTTCGTGCAGGCCTGGCGTTTTTTTGTTTGTTGACCTAGAGCAATGAAATTTGGCATGCATACTCATAGGGGAATATGCAGTTTCATCATGATACCTTGAGTAGTTCTCAGTTACATCATGCTACATGGTTCGACTTATATGGTCTGCTCGTGGAAAGCTTATCGCTGTAACAAAACATGCCAGGAAGCTGCAAATGGTGTTGATCTTTAGCCAAAAGAAGACTATTGGGTATGACAATCTCAGACTTTTTTTTATCACTTCTCTTTTTTTTTTTTCATATAGATCATCGTGGCTGCCTACACACATTGTCAGAAACTGCATCAAAATTCGTCCAGTCATGCCCGTGCTACATTTTGAATAAACAGCGCACAATGTCCAAAGTCCAAAACACACTTGTGAGAAAATGCCTGTCGAAGTTTTCGACAGACGTTTTCGACGGACTTTCTTGTTTCTGGTTAGATATTGATGAAAATTGGCACAGACACTAAGAATGGCCTCACAAAACTTACCACAATACCACAATACCACAATTACTTAATGAGAGACAAATTATTTTCATTGAACATCGTGGAGGGGCTGAGCATAATGCCCCCCAAAAAATATTGAAAAAACTGCGTTTGAAGTTTCAACTTCTCTTTACGCCTCTAAAATGCCTAAAAAGTGTGATCTCGGGTTTTATCTTGTGATATTCGTCTTCTCAGGCATGTGGCTTCTGCTCAGTGTGCCTTTCATTAACATATTTAAGTACTTGATTACAAATAATCACTGAATATTTTTTATATAGAAAGAAACTTATTGCATAAAAAAATGCCTCACACCATGACAGCCTATGCCTTCTTTCCAAATAACAAAGTTATGGGCAGAAGACTGATGGCAAAAGAATTTTTTAGCAGTTTATTTAATGATGCGAGACGGGCATATAAACTTTCGTGCCTCTGCTTCATACATGCTCTTTTGCCACTCTAGCCGTGAAACGCATCATCATACGGCCGGTCGTGGAAACGCTAATCTACGAGGCTTTCATTGTCTTAAAATATTCATAGATGCTCTTGGCGATACCAAGCACAGCTCTAAGAACATCTAAATATTATCACAAAAGCTTATTGACAGCACTGAATATGACCCTGGAGTGGGTGGTCGGCGCGTGATGCACTTGGCGGCACCGTTCAGTGACAATGTGCGAAATTTATAGTACAATGACAAAAAATCGGCACGCACTGCTATTGATATCGCATTTTCGAATGCCGATGCGTGAAACAGCTAGCCGCTGTTCCGAGCAATCTTTGGCACTGGAGGGGGGTTGACAAGCTTGACTGTTGGAGCCACTGCCGATGCGTAAAATGCCCGTCGGTTCTGAGAAGTTAGCGAGTGATGTGCTTTGTTGCTTGCAAAAAAGCATGTCACCACGAGTACGCTAGTACGTCGTTCTTTTCCGCAGTCTTGCCGTCAGCGGAGTGAGGCTTAAAGAGGACTCCGATGACGCGCCACACTCGTGACTGCCCGCCCACTCGTAGTAATCTGATTTTGAATCCGCTTACAACTTCGTTGCTTGCGAAGAAGCACGTCGCCATGAGTCCGCCAGGGCATTGTTCTTGCCCGCAGTCTCGCTGTCAGCAGAGTTTGGAAAGACGACTCCGATGATGCGCTGCGCTCGTACACCGCTCTCCCGCTTGCAATGACGCGCCGTGGTCGTAGACCATGCGCCCGCTCCTAATAATCTGATAGTGCATCTGCTAACAGCTTCTAACTAAAGTGTAATTATATCTCAAGTGATTGTCGAGCCGTGAACACGTCACAAAGTAGCAAATTTCAAGAGCCATGTTCTTGTGATCCACAAGCAGCAGACGATGATCTGCCGGAGCGAGCATCGGGCCAATGGCGAGGCGAGCTGAGGCAACATGGCGGTCACGGCCAATCAAGGGCCTCAAAACGACCTTCAAACATTTGCTTTTTGTGCGCTTGTTGTTAAAGGGAGGAGCCAGCTGAGGCGGGAAATTTAAAAATGGAGAAATGCTCTTTCTGATGAGCCCAAGCAGCCAACTCTTGGCTGCGCCATCGTGAAGTTATAGTTTTTTGAAAATCGCTGTTTTCTCGCGATTTCCAGAAAAAGTTTTGCTACCTAGAAGGGGGAACAAATTTTTTGAAGCACTTCTGTGTGGTTTTCAGTGTAGATATTTTGCAATCGAATAGAAAAAGGCTTCCAGAAATTGTAAGCTTGATTTTCAAAAAATCTATTTTTCTCGCCATTTTTCGCGATACCAAGGTTGCGTCCCCCCTAAAGGGTCCCAACAGTAGCCAGGAAAACAAACCCTAAGCTTGGCTTTTCATTCAGTGCTATCTGTGTTATTTGTATCAGTCTAACAAGCTTACTCAGATAGAGCTTACGTCAGTTTTAATGTACACTTCGCTGTCTCACATCTGATGTTCTTCAGAGGAAACAGGTGTCTACATGTGTTGGTATGCTTTTTTTTTTTCTTTGTCCTCGTAGATGTCAGGCCAAATTAATATCTTGTGTTTTTGCATATTATGAGCTTCGCATCTTATGAGAGCTTACAAAGAGAAGATCTGCTTATGTCTGGGACTTTCATTTGCATATTCATTGCATATACAAGAGTACATGTTTGGGCTTCAATTGGGTTTCACTAATAAAAATTCAGGTAGAAGTTAGCACTTTTTTGTGTGTGTCGCATTGTCTTGTCTGTCGCCTCTGAAGTTTGTGCTATAGCAGTTTCGATATACAAGAGGCTCACACATATATACTATAAAAAGCGAAATATAGGTTGAATTTTTTGGCAAAAATCTGCAATGAAAAGTCAACCCTCTTATTATATACCGCTTATTGGCAGAAAAATGTAGAAGTCTCACAGCAATGGGCAGCTGAAGTCGAAGGCCTCCATCGCCATCGTGAGCATCAGCAGCGGCGCCGTTAGGCAAGGCTAGGCAAGGCCTACAGTGTACTAGCAATGCCATTTTGCCTCGGTTATCTTTGTCAGTCTGCTGTTTTCTTTTTTCTGTTTCCTTCAGAAATTAGTGGTAGTCAACGGCAGTGTTCGATAGGCTCTAAGAGAAAAAAAAAAAAAAGTGATCGAGTATGCCGAAGTGCATGGCAACCTGGTGGCACAACGAGAATTTGGTGCATCAGAGAAAAGCGTCTGATACTAGAGGAGCCAAAAGCATTGCATCACATCCTACAGAAAAAAAAAAAAAAAAAAAAACCCAGTTTCGTGGACGGACTGCAGTGTACCCCAAACTGGAAACGCTTCTCGCCAAATGTCCGGGAGCTGCGTGAGAGGTTGCTACCCATAACTGCAGAGTGCACCCACGTGAAAGCTCTCAAGATAGGGTGCGACTCTGGGCTCACGAGGGTGAAGTACAAGGGATCACCATCGTGAGTGCATCAATTTATGAAGCGGGAGAGCTTTGCGCTGAGGCGGCTTGCTTCCGTCTTTCTGAAAATGCTGCATCAGAAACGCGTTGGATGGAATGGAGGACGATGCACTCAGGGACGTTACTAGTGAAAAACAGACTTCGTCGGACTCATGTTTGGATGAGTTTGAGTGATAGCACTTTGTGGCCTTCTGGCGTTTAGCTACATAACATTAGTGTCCAAATAAAAAGAAATGTCACACTGTGTAGCTGGTTGTGTCACGTTTTTACCAAAGGAAGGGTGAGCCGCGATAATGCGGCACAACCTTGCGGGCAACCCATTATCGCGGCACACCCGCGATAATGCGGTTTTCAAAGATTTCTTTTTTGGAGATTCATAGTTTGGGGGGGTCGACCTATGTTCCGGTATGACCCATATTCTGGTTTTTACGATAATCTGATGTGGGCATATACGTTTTTTCTTACTGAACATGATCAAGGAACAGAGGGCCTGTAGTTTGGTCAGCTGTGTGGTGGGGCTTTGCCTTGCAAATACAAACAAGCAATCATTTCTATAAGCTTTCTTTCCTTCCTCCTCATAGCTTACTTGCATAGTCCAGCTTATTCTCTAGTACGCACTTGTGTGCAGCTCCAGAGCAGCCTGTGGGCTTGGGGTAATCGTATTCAATGTGCACAAGCTACAAGAAGGCAGACATTGCACGTTCAGCATATGATTGATGTAAGAATGCTAAAATAACATTGCGCTTTTTTTCTGACCACTTTTTTTGGAGGGGGGGGGGGGGGGTCACTATAGGACATAAGTAATTGCAACATAAGAAAGTTGCATAGTATTTGTGCTAATACTTTGTATTTAGTCATAGAACTTAGAGACTGTCTAGGCCAAAGTGAACACAGCATAGTAGATTATAAAGAAATTTTTTTTTTCAATTAGTCATGTTGCATTGTGTGCTCTTCTAGGACTAATGCAGTAGTAATATAGTACTACACCTATCCTATTCAGTAGGTCTACGATACACATTTGTTTGTATGACCTTTGACATCGTATGCTGAAATCACAGAGTGCCTGTCAAGGAAGCTTGGAACTGTGCCTTGATGAAATGTTCTGATGATGTAATAATGACACATTTGAAGGAGAGAGCACCTTCTTTGTCTGTGTGTGCTATCTTTTCTCTTGCTTGTCTTGTGGTCAGAACAGTGCCTGCAGATGGGCATATGGTGGTTTCAGCATGGGCTGTCTCAGATTGTGCAAACTGAGCATGGGTTTGTTTGATCAGTTTTGCATGTGTAGTTCTGTTGATTTGGGCTACACACGCTCCAGCATTTGCACTGAGTGAGGCGTTTCCCTTGAGCATGTGTTGAATAGGAAATCAAAGCAACTTCTCAAATTTTTGTTTACTTCTGCCTCAACTGCACAGTCTTGGGGGAAAACAAAACTCCTTCCTTCATTTATGAAGTTTAGTGATTGGCCTTGTTTATGTTCTTTCTGCAGATTACCTACGGGTTATCTACCAATTGTTATGGTATTTGTGGCATGGTACGTTATATTCTTTCATGTCAGATGGGGAACATCGTGAAAGAGTTGTGTATTGTCATCCAGTTCGAGACTGTGCCGTCATGTGCGCTCTTACTGACCTTTGCTTATCTTCTGGTGCTCTGGATGGCTTCCAGAACCCCAAAGAAGCATGAGGAACCAATCTATGCCTTGCATAGCATGCAGAAATAAAGTGCACAGTGTTGGACTGTCGGACCTCTAAGGAACTTTGCTCTCTTGCATGTTAGATCTGAATGTAGGCATGCGAAATGCCTTTCCAGCTTCTCTGAGCCTTCATTTGCACTAACGTGATAGCATGTGGCTCTCAATACATTGGTTTTAATGTGTTGGAATTTTGGATAGTCATGACGAGACCACTGTTGTTGGCCCCCACTAACGCACAATGCCCGACTACAGGCCCACTCTTTTTCTCGGCTTGGCTCTAGCAAGGTTCTGTCACATGTGCTTTGTTTAGTTTGTTGGCTTCAAGCTCTCTTGCTTCTTTCGTCAAGGCAAGCGCCCTGTTTGACTGGCTCTATCACCACAGCACTTACGTGTTCAGCAGCGTTTGTGGGTGTCCTGTGAAAAAGTGTCCTTGAACCCACTTTTTAGTGCTACCTTGCTGCATATGCACATGCTCGGACTGCAAATGTATGACTATACTTAGCAACACCCTTTCTAAGGATAAAAATAAGCAAGGTTATGTCTTTTAGCTGCATTGTTATTTCATGCTTTAGTGCCACGCATTTGCTGCATAGTGGCAGCTGACTCTACTGAATGAGCAATGGCTTGACTGCTTTTTGTTCAACCGGCTGAGAGCACTTCTCGCGGCTCTTGCTTATCATGTCATAGATGTGTCCTGAATACAGTGTAAAATTGTTTTGATTACATGCTACCATGAATTTACATTGGCACAAGGCTATGGTGCTTAGGATAGCCTTAAATATTTCTCTAAAGTGTAAAGGAATTAAGGCATGTAAAATGTACAGCCAATAAAGAATCTGCAAATTGGCCATTTATTATGTTGAACCTATCTTGGTGTCACATTGCCTTGTGCTATCTGCCTAGAGTACTCTGCATAAGTGTATTTGTCGTGCCTCATGTTACTTTTGAAAAGTTTTGCTTTTTGTCTAGTGGGTTGCCTTTTTTGTTTAGCAGATCTAAGAGTGCACATAGTTCATTGGTGTTTTAGATAGAATATCCTTAATTATATAGCTTAGCAGATATACCAGGTTGGGCTATTGTTGAGATGAACAAGACTCGTTTGCACTCGAGCTGTGACGAAGCCTTGGCAGATTTTTTGTTTTTTTTTATTTATTTACAGATACTGCAGGCCCTACCCGGGCCCATGCAGGAGTGGGATACAAACAATACATTCAAGCAATAACTAGTAATACACTGGAGTACAGGGCATAAATGAAAGAATACATAACTATCAAGTACAGAAAAGTCAAATATATTTTCTCGCTGTTCAACAGAACTGCGCTCAACTAAGATTATTTTCAACATTTGTAGCCGGATGATTTGCACTCAAATGACACTATTTTCAGCATACATCACTTATATGGTGAAATTAATCTTTTCTATCTGTTGAGTGAATGAAGCCGTCGAGGCAGCATTCACTACTTCCGCAGGTAATGCGTTCCAATGAAAAATTGCGCGAGGAAAGAGAGCGAACTTGTGGGCATTAATGTGGCTGGGTGGCTGCCTAAACGTTTTGTTGTGATTTGTCCTAGCTGAAAGTTTAGAAGGCTGCTGAAGGTATCGTTCCCGTGATAATTTAAAGTCCCCGTGATCAAGTTGGTAGACGAATTTTAATCTGGATATTATCCTGCGCTGTTCTAGTATTTGTAGGCTTGCCCTATTACGTAGATTAGTTACACTATGTTGTCGGGAGTAAGCGGAATATATAAAGCGCAAAGCTAAATTTTGGACCCTTTCTAATTTCTTAATCAAATATTGTTGCCAAGGGCTCCAAATAATGTCGGCATACTCCAATTTTGGTCGCACGAGTGCTTTATACGCTTTTAGTTTTAACGTGGGAGGAGTGTTACGCAGTTTTCTTTTCAAAAAGGATAATTTCTTCAGTGCACCCGAACACACATTTTCAACGTGCGTTTCCCAACTGAGGTTACTGGTAAGTGTAACTCCCAGATATTTAACCTGATCAGCTCTCGTGATTACAGCATTTCCTATGAAATATGTGAAATGAAGGGGTAACGTTTTGTTGGTAAACGTAATGGAATTTGTTTTCGAATTTGTTTTTGAATTTGTGGAGTGTTCATCATACTTGACACATAATGGAAAAGTGGGCATACTTGTAACTGGTCTCACAGCTTCGTATGTTCTGATAAATGTTTTTTTCAGCAAACATTTAAGTTGTAATATAGGTTATGGCTGAACTATGGGGCAGCAGTCGCAGGGTTAGCCTGCATAGTCTCTTGTGATTGTACACATTGCACCTGGGCACTGCTTTGGCTGTGCCTGCTTCCTTTGCCAACTAGGAACCAAACTGTCATGGTTACTATGAAGTAGTAAATTGTTAAGTTGTGTGAGGGTACACCTTAAGATGTAGAACACAGGCTTCTTAAATTAATGGCTTCATCTGTCTCGGGCAATTCGGAAATATTGCACAGTTCATACAAGAGTAGTCCAGGCTAGTCCACTGGCTAGAGTTTGCCTGTAAAGGTGCCCTGCAACACTTTTAGAACATAGTCAAACAACACTGCTCATCAGTAGTCAAGGATCCTGTGAACATATGAGCCAAATATTGGTGAACGTCATGCAACTGGGAATTTACAATTTCATTTCAGAGACAACTAAAAATTGTTGCGGTCCTCCGAGCAAACAACATAGATGTAGGCCTAGGCATGGCCATTAAGTAATTTTTTGATCCGGAAAACATTCTCAATAATATTAGTATTACTTTTTTTTATTTGGTGCAAAAAATTCGTGAAGTATACATGTTTTTCTCTTCAGAAACACCGAAAAAGTAAGTATCTTAGTATATTTGATCTCGTTCGAGAGGCATGCGCCTAATATTTTATTTATATTACATCTATGTGCAGCAGCACTGTGCTTATTCTGCGCCTATGCTATCTTAGATGCTCGGTGCCTGACTCAGTCAATTGTCCGATACTGAGCTCGCTGTGACAGTACCCACCTATGTATATTGGCGCTTCCAAAACGGCTGGTACACTTGCTGAAGTGGGTTTGCTGCCTCCCACACGTCTTGTAAGTTAGATGCCTTGGCTGCCTGTTGGTCAGCCACTCGTAACCAAAAACGCTTGTCTGGATTTGGTTAATATATTGAATGTTGAATCAAGCTGATCAGGAGTAAGCTGGTCCGCACCAGGAATTCACAGAGAGGGGCCAAACTTTAGCGTGACAGCCATGCTTCCCGTGTCTTGTGTAGGTACTGCAGCCATCATGGATTGCTACCGTGTGGCAGTGGTCTGAAATGCTCAAGGCTATGAAGCGCACTGCTGTAGCTTCTTGCCCTTTTGTCATCCCCAGAGTGCAGCCTCCGCCATGCTCTTAAGAATGAAAGAAGAGATAGGTGCTCGGAGCCCGTGACAAGTCCTTGTGACTTTTACTTATGCTCAATATGTTAGAAAAAAACTTGTAGCTAGAAATGCATGGGGTAATAAACTCTTGGAGTGTGGTCAATTGGTGGCTACCTTAAAAGGTGTTGCAGGGCCCTTTTAATCTGACTGTGTGTGCCTCCACATTAATCACTATGCCAGTGAACTTGTGGGTCTAAAAAAGCTTGAGTGCATCGTCGCGAACTGGCAGTGTTTTGTTTCATTTAAAAGCAATCATTATGTCTTTTAAAAAGAGCAACATAATGTGTGTAAAATCCTTTTCTGCTGCATGCTGGTTCATATCTGCCAACTAAAATTTTCCTCAAAATACTGTAATTGTGGATTTGTGCAACTACGTAACTTCATTATTTTCAATTAGGCTACGCACCGCAATATCAAAACTTGTCAGCATCTATAGGGTGTAAAATTATTTAGCTGGCATTTGCTCCAAATGTAGTTGAATCTCTACGGGTGATACCTCCTTTGACCGCAGACATGACACCTTTGCGTTACACGTTTGATAAGCAGAAAAGATACAGGAGTAGAAAAGGTCCAGTTGAAGCACTTTTTCTATTTCTCTTATCACCGACTTGCTATGCCACAGATATTGGTGTGTGGTTGGCACTCATTGACTGTTGTAACTGAGGTTCAAAATGCATTTGTGTGCAAGCACAAGGGCAGCCTGGCAAATTAAAAAAAAGTTTTCTTGTGATGAGCATACCTGAATTCGCATAAGCGCTCATAGCCTGTGACAAGACATGAGTGTCGTCATTGTGATATTAAAGTGCGAAACTCAGTAAGGAAGAGCTGAATGCCCAGTTAAGCTAGTTAATTAATAAAAGTTCTTCCTTGCTGAAAATTTGTCAGTGTTTGCCTTTACTTGTTTCATCTTTTGGCTTATCAAATATTGTGTTGCCATTAAAGGGACACTCATCAGGCCCCATAACAAGTTTTAGTTAGACCGTGGTAGTTGTGTGTCTGACGAGCATTGTGCCACAAAATCATTGTGCCACAAAAAATTACGAGCTGAAAAAACTGGTATTTTGAAGCGGCGCGAAAGAATGATGTGAGGAGGCGAGCTCGATTCCTTGCCGCTCGCCCCGTGTAACCTTCACAAACCAAATCTCTTCCGTATCATCTCCGGAATCTGAGCAAACGTCACGTATGCACGACGCTCCCGAGTTAGCCCAACCCCCAAGCAAGAGACACTGGTTTAGATGCACTAGAACAGATGAGCATATGAGTTCTCTAACGCGCAGGACTATTAATTTTGTTTCCAGGGCTGGTGTCTGCTAGAACCGTTAATCGCGGAGGCACGAACGCATGTGATATGCAGGCACATTAGCCCCGCATCACGTTGCAGTTCACGGGAAAAAAAATTAAAAAGACGTGCACATTCCCTTTCTGTGTCTCCTCATT